GTCTGGCATGGGCGGCTCACGTTCATCTTGGAGTCAATAATGACTCTGAGATCCCTTTCCGCCTCTGTGCTTTCAGGAGAGGAACTCCCCAGCCTTTACGCATGCTGTGGATTCCTTCCCCAAGGTGCAGCACCCAGCATTTGTCTATGTTGAACCAGATCCTATTCTCATCTGCCCACTTTTGTAGTCTGTCTAAATCTAGTTACAGCCTCTCTCTCCCTTCAAGTGTGTCCACCTCGCCCCACATCATAGTGTCATCAGCAAACTTAGACAACATGCTTTCCATCCCCTCATCCAAGTTGCTGATGAAGATGTTAAACAGTGCAGGCCTGAGGACCGAGCCCTGGGGTACCCCACTGCTCACATCTCACCAGGTTGAGTACAACCCATCTACCACTACTCTGAGTGCACCCCATCAGCCAATTTTTTACACATCCAACTGTGCAGGCATCAGTGCCACAGTCGCTTAATTTATTGATGAGGATGGGGTGAGAAACAGTGTCAAAGGCCTTCTTAAAGTCTAGAAAGACTACGTCCACAGCGACACCAGCAGCCAAGGATTTAGTTACTTGGTCATAAAAGGCAATCAGGTTGGTCAGGCAGGACCTGCCTTTGGTGAAGCCATGCTGATTGCCCCTGAGCATGATCTCCCCTGCTGGCCCCTCACAGATGTGCTCCTTGATGATCCTCTCCAAGATCTTCCCGAGCACCGAGGTGAGGCTTACAGGCCTACAGTTACTTGGGTTCTCCTTCCTCCCTTTCTTGAAAATTGGGACCGCATTAGCCAGTTTCCAATCCCCTGGCACATCCCTAAAATCATGCTCATCCCTAAACCCAGACTCTGAACCTACCATGAAGGTGACCTGAAGATTGTGCATGTTGCCATAGTTGCTCAATACCGCATCCTTGATGATCCCTCTCAGTATCGGGAGGTTTTATATCAGGTAGTAAGTAGCATGTTCCATTAACATAAGACTAGCCTGAGCTCTAAAAATCAGGTGTGCCCTCATGGGCATATTCCAGGTTTGGAGTGCACCAGTGGGGGATGAGTGTGCTTGAGCCCTTTTGATCTGGGACTCACCATTACCACCTCTGTGTAGACAAAGCCATGCTGTGGGTTGTTGGGCCTACCTCCTCTCTGCTTTCTGTAACTTAGTCTCAAGGCTAGGATGTAGGCATGTCACACAACTAATGCACTAAGTTTTTTAGGGACTCCAGGTGGGTAGGTTAGAATCGCACTTTGGAAATATGAATACCAAAGTTGCACTTTTGGAGGCTTAAGAGAGAGAATAGGACCAGGCCATGGGTCCAGAGTGTAACCAGGTGAACCTGGCATCACCTGTGAGGATGGTCCCACATGTGACCTGCTTGTGGGTTAAAACAAAAACAACATGTGACAGTCAGTGGCTGCAAGATAATCAGCTCTGACAACACAACACATCACAGGGATGGGACATGGGACTCTTACTGCTTTAGCAAACAGGTCTCTTTCTATGATTCCTGATATGGTCTCCCACTGGAGTCAGCTGCTTTCCATTGGAGCCCCCAGCCCTACCTGGGAGGTCATTTGTCCAGTCGCATTGCAATGTGGCAGAGCTGTGAGCCTCTCGCCCCTCATGGGATGGTCTTTTTGACCCTGTAGAAATGCAGTTGGGATGTGGAGAGCACTGGCTGAAATGGAGGTGAAGCGTGACATCTGTCACCTGCTGGACATGCTGTTGAAGAAACTCCAAGAGCGACCAAGGGTCACGGGGAAGGCAGCCTCCATCTTGCCGATAGCCGTAAGTTGCCAATAGCCATAAAGAGCCTTTCGCACACGACTCTCCTCTCCCCACAACGAGGTGAAAGATCCTTGATCTGCAACTGAGGGATAGACTCCAGAGAATCACCTCTGGGAGGGATGGGGATTGCTCCACAGCATTTGTTGTAGAGCCCTGAAAATGCCCGTTGTCCATTCCCTTACCCTTTGCTGCTCTGTGTCTCCCAGACACCACCCCCCTACAAGGGGGCTTGGACAATGGTGCCTCTGGAGCCCAGCAAAGCTGCAACCTTATCTAAACAGGTCACTTGTGCCATTTCTCCCTGTCTTCTCCAGGCAGGTACTGAGCAGAGCAGTTAGTCTCCCCCTGTCTCTGCAACGCCCCCATATCCTGCCTCCCCTCCTCGCCCCTCCCTTGTTTCCCTCTCCCTGTCGATCAATGCAGTGCCCCCACCTTCTTGCCCCCTGCTTCAGCAAGTTACTGGGAGCAAAGGACCATTGAGCTCTTTCTTAACACTTTTCACCACTAGATCTCAATGGACTTCTCAGAGGAGGTCGATAGTACTGTGCCTATTTTACAGGTGGGGAAAGAGAGGCACAGAGTGGGGAAGGGCCTTGCCCATAGTCACCTTGCTGACCTGTGGCAGAGCCAAGGCAAAATGTCAGGTCACCAGAGCCTCTGTCCATTAGAGCCTGCTGCCTCCCCTTTGGAAAGGAAACCCCGGTTTCCTGCCTAGCAATGCAGAGCAGCAATCCTAGAGCTATGGGGGCACCAGGACAGGACAATACCCACCCTTTTTGCTGCAGAGTTATCCTGTTTGGCTCCCCACAGCCAGGGGTGGGCGGTGGGACAAGCAGCATGGGACGGAGGTGGCGAGTATCACAGCTGTGATTGTTTCCCTCCCTCAGGCTGCTAGCGCTCTGTTTGAGGTGCTGTGCTTAACCAAGTGCCGAGACGCCGTGATGCACATCTTCCCCCGCCTGCTGATGGCCCTGCTCGTCCAGGTGCATTACTGCACTGGGCTCAGCCTGCCGCACAGGAATGACTTCACCCCTACCTGGTAATTTGTTGTGCTCCCTGCTTGCCGAGGTTGTGCTGCACAAAGGCGCTGCTTGCCTTCGCTGGGAAGGCTCTTCACAGTGCCCCACCATCTCCCCTGTGCTACCAGAACAACAGCTTCCTCTCTCATTGGCCCGTCCGTGATGCCCGTTTGCATCTTCCACTTGTTCTGTTTCCAAACCAACCCCTTCCCTGCCCCTTCCTATGAGCAAAGCATTGGAGGTATCCAGCTGTGGGGTTGCCTCACAATCTTCCTCCAGATGCCTTCCAAGGGCTTGCCTTTGCCTTGACACCTGCAAGAAACACTGAGAGTAGTGACACCTGCAGAAGCCCTGGCTGATGCTGTGTCAGTCATGCTGACTGGCAACCCCTCGCTGTTTCATCAGGCAGCTTCCAGCCAAGGTTGGAAAGTCTTTGGGGAAGTCATCCTGCATTTGTGTTTGTACAACACCTTGCACCACAGTTAATGAGTGGGGTTCTTGGGTGCTGTGCAGCACAGACCATCATCGCCTGCATCATCATCATCCTTGTGGGCAAGGACATGCTACTCACACCACAGGGAGCCATTCCTCAATGTTCCAGTACCATACCTAAAAGAGACAGGTCAGCACATGTGTGCTATGTCATTGATAGTATGCGATCACGCAGTTCATTGCATGTGCAGAACACTTAAGATTAGCGTATGATGTTGGGCTTCCTGTCCTGGTTATAGTAGCATCCATGCAGCACAGGCCTGGGCATGATGCCTGTTACAGCAGCACGTGTACACATTGCACGCAGTGCAAGGATGGACTCCATGTGTCAGTTATAATAGCCTGTATGCAGTGTGTGCAATGCTGGCATGGACTCCCCCCTATCCCAGTAGCTTGTACACAGGGCATGCGGTACAGGGCATCGGATTCATTGCGTTTGTGATAGCAATTGTGTGCCATGCCTGATGGGTCTTTATGCTTCCATTATACTATATGTACAATCCATGTGCTTTGCAGGCTCGGGCGCAATATGTCAGTTATGCTAGTGTGTGTCCAGCATGTGTGCGATTCAGGGTTGCGCTTGATGGATCTGTTGGAGCAGAACATGAGAGACTGCCAGTTGCTGTGGCTTAGTGTCTCACAATCAATGTTGCCATCCTAGCACAGTGCCTGTAGATTGCAATGCAGTGTAGGGTTGGGCCTGACATCTCTGTTACCCTACAGTACAGTACAGTGTGTGTGATTCAGGGGATAAAGGATTACTGTGAGCAAGGCTGATGCCACCCTTCAATACTGGTTTTGCTCTGTACTCAGGTGGGTGATAAGGACAATAAAGCTCCTTCTCCTAAAGACAGGACATGTCTGTGAGCTCGCCATTGTGGAGCTGGATGGAGGCTGGGAAATGCTTGCTAGCCCTGAGGAGCACTACCGTGGGGTGGGCCAGCTTGCCAGGTAAGAGGCAAGAACTTGCCAGTGTCCTTCCCTTCAGCCAGGTGCCCTCAGTGACTTGCTGAAGACCAGACTTTCCTGCTCAGTAATAAAGGTATCTCTGTTTGCTGCCACAGAACCATGCTCCACCATGGCTGCTCTGAGCTTTGGAAGATCTTGTACCTTCTAGTCCCATTCCTTGAACGGGGGGATGAGCATCACAGGCTCACTGCGCTGGCCTTCTTTGTTGAGGTAAGATTCGTTAGCTCACCTCTGTGGTGAGACAAAAGCACCACCTGCATCTTTCCTTTCTGACCAGCTGGTCTCCATCTCCAAGGATCTGGTGTATCTGAGTGTTTGGAGAAAGCTGGTATGTATGAGAGGTCTTCAAGGTGTCGTGAATCAGAGCAGCCGCTGGCAGCTTGTCTGACTCACACACCGGAGTGTTTAGATTTAGAGCTCGGCAGGCGGGTAGTGATGGATGGAGTGGAATTAACCAGGCACAGACACGTGTAGGTTACAGGAGTTTGTTTACTTACGTCGCCTAGATAGTGATGGACGACGCAGGCGAGCCTTTGTTCCGTTACAGCTTCGGTTATAGAGTTGAGTATATGCATATAACTTCGGTTACAGAGTCGAGTACACGCACGCAGTTAGGTTACAACGAGATAATGACAGACGTGGCGCCGGAACAAACGGTCGAGCTTGCAAGACTTTCTACGTCAATATTTTACGCTGACGGGGTGATTGATTGGGAATTGATCAATTTCCCAATTCTCTGGTGACAAGCACAGGTGTTTCCTGTGAGATCCCCAGAGCTCTCCCACTTGGGTGGAAACCGTTAAACTATTTATAGGCAGAGGTGTTTGACAGAAATGCCCAATCGTGAACCGTTATATGGAATCTTTAATTTTTGGCAGGTGGCAGCTCTTTGTCTCCTCAAGTTACAAGGTAGTGGGTTAGGTTTCTCTACCTGTTACGTGTGTGCTACGTGTGAGGAGCTTATGCTTATTTTTGGACCAATTATATATAGTTTCCCCTTTCATTTTATTTCAGCTGACCAATTATCTACAGTACTCCGGCCACGTTTTGTTTCAAGGAATTTTTGGCAGGGATGTCTTTTAACCCTTAATCGTCAAAATGAGGATGATTTGAATGGTATCTCTTGCTCAGTGGCATGGGCACAATTTAATTGGGTTGTGACACAAGGAAGTCCAAGAAATGCTGTGGGGCTTCATCCTCTTGGGAGCATGGGCTTGTTGCCTTCATGCACGTTGGAGCCTTTATAGCCCTTTGTGCAGGAATGTGAGGAATTTGTGCAGCAGAGGTTCAGATGGACAGCCATCGGTCTGCAGCTTATCATTGACCTGCCCTTTGGTTTTCTTAGCTTCTTCGGATGCCACAAGCTAAGCGGCTCCCACAGGAATATTCTGTGATCCGACTAACAAAGGGACTGACTGATCTGGATCCAGTTGTCCGGGCACTGTGTGTCAGAGGATTGATCATCATAGCCAACTGGACAGGGAAGGTGAGAGATGGAGTCCATTCCCTGACCCAATAAAAGCCAGCGTAATAGCTCCAGTAGCACTAAAATAAGTCTAGAGTAACCGTCAGCCCAAAAAACCTACTGCTGGTGAATTGAAATGAGTGAATGAAAGCCTATTTTAAAAGAACCTGCCACTCTTGGGAGGTTCCTCTGAGTTTAGAAGGATTCTAGGAAAATTAAGCTGTATCTTGTTCATTGTTGGAAGTTAAAACTGGAGCTATACAGTAGGGAATAGTTGGTGGCTTTTTAGTAAATTAATTCTCTACAGGAGATCACAATCCCAGTGCCAGCCATGATAAACAGCTTATATGGACTTGATGGGAGGCTGGTTGTCGAGGCTCTTGCTGATGTTGAGACGATTCTCAGTGGGCTGGATGAAGCGAGCTTTCCTGGATGCATCACCGACCCTCTTCAACAGCTCTTTGATGATGTAAGGAGGGAGTGCAGGGTAGCAATGGGGGACAAGAAGCAGAGGAACATTTCTGCTGAAAACCAGTAGTGATTTCTATTGAATAATGGAAGTAGAATAGTGTCATCCTCACTTTCGACCCCATCCAGAGTTATCTTATATCTTGTCCCAACAGAGCTGACTCTGCTGTCTATGAACTGGGGGCACCAACCTATGTTAAAGTAATGTCTAGCAAGTTAGGCTCTACTGTAGCATGTGGAAATATTCCTATTCATGGTGCAATATATATGCACGCCTCAGGAGACGTGCTGCTCTGTTACACTGGACAACCTAATAAACTGCAGAGTTTGAGGAAAGAATCCTTATAGCTTTTACTGTATGCACACGCTGCTGTTGGTCCAGTCCTGTGCAGAGTGCCTTCAGCTCTTGTTGTTGAGATCGGTAGGACTTGAGGGGAATCAGCACTGTGAAGGATGTGGACCTCAGTCAGTTCCTGATGCTATTGGCTGTATTACACAGCTTCCCTTTGCTAGAAGAGGAGGTCATGATGCATTAAGAAACAGAGTCCAGCTAGTGATCCCAGCCCACAGAGGAGAGTAGGGGCAGGACCAAACTACAACTCCGGTGCCCCACTGTAACTTCCAGTTTCAGCTGAAATCTTCATTTTCAGCCAAGGCTGAAAAAAAGATATCACATCTCCCCAAAGAAACATGTCTGCCTGAATTCTTAGACTAACGTGGCTACAACCAACAACCCCACTTTTAGCCAAAACACTTTGATAGGGAGACAGTTTTTTCCACGTGAAACAGCCGGTTTTGATGACACATTTTGGTTCAGCAAACACCCAATTTTCTCCTGAAAAAACAGTATCAGTGAAAATTATTCAGCCTCTCTTATACGAACTATGAGGGGGTAGCTATAATTGCAGTCCAAGCCTATCATTTTTCTCATAAAACAAGAACTGTCCGCTCACTAAATGTTCTGCCCCTGACTTTCTCTCTTTGTATCGATCACAGGACAGAGAGAATGTGCGCTTTGCTGCCATTTCCCTGTTTGGGAGTGTACTCAAGAAGGTGAAGAAGAGTCAGAGACTTATCAAGGAGGAAGAAATCTTGAACAGCTTAGTCCCATTACTTCTGCACCTGCAAGAGGGGAACCCTGACATGGCCGAGGCCAGTTCCTATTATCACTTATATCCCCATACCAAACAACTTAAATCCATGAGATTTCCAGACAGGTGCTTCTGCAGAACTGTCTTTCAAAGGAGGATTTTCTCCTGATCCTTCTTTTGTAGAGATAACTTAAAGCTCCCCATCCAACTCTTGCACAGGGGAAGTCCTCCCATATATAGCCCATTATTAGGAATTGGATGATGTTTGCAGTATTCAGCTCTTTGAAACACTGCGACTCCCATCTTTTCTTGCAGAAATGTAAGAAAGCTTTGGATGAATGTTCTCGACTCATGAACTGGAAACTTCCCAAGCAGGTTGGCAGCAGGAAGGCCTGGCACAACCATCAAGAGGATGCGGATAAAATATGCCACTACCTTGTAAGTGATCTTTCTTAAAATTGTGTGTTGATATGTTAAAGGTTAATGCGGAAGAAGTAGTAGGGTCAAAGCCTTTATCAGGCTTTGAGAAGTTTATGGAGTGAGAAGTTTATGGAGGACCTTCCTATGATATTTCTTGCCTTAGGTGAAGAAACATGAGAAAAATATCCAAAGGTTTTTGTTGCAGAGTCAAATTTACCTCAAAAGTGCAGAGCCTTGTTTACGAACGGCTGCAGCCACATTCATAGGTAAGCACAAAAGAATTTGATTTTCTTTAGCACAAGTCCTTTGTCTGCAGGGTTTCATCTGGCAGCACAAATCAACTGGTTCTGTCCAGATGTCATGATTCCTTGATGTTCTGGGATTGAATGCTACATTAATACAGAAATGCTCTTAACCCCTAACCACATGTTCTTAACAAAATAGCCCAAAAAGCTCTCCAATTGACATCTGCTCCTGTGGGGATCCCCAAAACACCTTTGTCTTTTCAGGGGAAATTCCTCTCCAAGAATGTGTGCCCTTCTCTTAAACCCTAATTTCTTGGTATAGCCTCAATCCAAAGCCTTTTGAAGTGAGTTGAAAGACTTCATATTGACTTCCTTGGGCTTTGAACAAGGTGCTGCCCTCCCTCGCATCAGCCTGTGTGTCTCAGGATTTGGGAACTTGTCCAAATATCTGAGGGATTTTCCTTATGAAAGACAAAAACTTCAGAAGTGAAGTCCCCAGTGGAGAATGAATGGGGGAGAAAGGGGAATTCACTGATTTTAATGGTATGTTTAGGGTTCTTGGTTGTGCACGTGGACAAAAGGATGACAGAAGAAGACTTGAATATCATAAGCAATGGTAAGTAAAATCCTCATATGTAGATGCCTGGCCTTTTGAATGAGTATTTGTGCATCTGAGAAGATGTTGGGATTGATATACCCACAGATTTGTACTCTACGCAAAGGAATTATAAATAGCACTTGTAATGGTCTGACTCTACCTCTTCTCCCTACGCTTTATCGTTATATGTTTGCTATGTCATCTCCACCTTTAAATTCCTCTTAAAAACTTCCTTCTCTGCCCCTATGAAGAGAATTGAGCATAGCAAGGTCATTTAACAGGCTCCTCGGAGAGCCTGCCTGTCTGTCTAGGTATTTTTCTTGTGAGCGTCACAATAATATGGTGGCAACCATCAGTCCTCCTGGATCACGGTGTATGCATGAGGGCCACCCAGACCTTCGCTGCATATGCCTGGGGACGAATATTTGGAGGGGTGGAGGCTGCCCAGACCTTCCATCCTCCCTTTAGGCTGCTGAGACCGAATCCAAAGATCAGAATGAGTCCAGACATTTGGTGCCTCCATGGCTGTAGTTGTATCAGTGTCTGGGAAACAAACCCAGGTCTCCTGTGTGGTAGATAAGGATGCTACCACTGAATCACAGGGGACTTGACAATAATATCCACGCACCCATAAATCCCAGTACCCTTATAAACAGTCCTAATATCTTTTCTTTCTCTACCTAGTCTTTTCACTTTTGCTCCTGTGCTCATATAGTATCCCACTGACTTCAGGCAGGAAAAGTTTGGGTTCTGCTTTCCATTCATTGCAAGTCCTTCAGGGCTAAGACTAAGGATGCAGCCACTAAACAGTTCAGCTTTAAGCAGAGCAATGCCGTGCCACACAAGTCGTGTAACTGGTGGTGTGGTTGCGTGCTGCGGGAGTCCTTCAGATTCCTGTACAGATGAGTGGGAGGAGGTGAGCAGAAGGCATTATAAACAATGCGGGAATACTGCAGAGGAAAGCCTTAGGATGGGACTTCCATGCAGCTGGCGCGGCAACGCCGAGACCCCTTCCCTCGCCCGTGCGTCTCTAGATATCGGTGATTATTATGACAGCTCTGCAGTTTCTGATCGACTTTCCCACGTTGCTCCAGCTCTCGGCGACCTGATGCACGACCCCGAGGCGTCTGTGTGCGTCTTTGCCGCTCAGGCCCGTGACCGCGTCCTGGCAGCTCGCTGGAAGCTGAAATACGGCCTCGTCCAGCAAAGCAAGGCGGGCAGCAACCCCGCGGACAAACGCGGCTGGTACCCCGGCCCCCAGAGCCTCCCCGCTCCCTGCAGCACCTCCAGCCGCCTGCTTGAGGGCCTCCGCCTCTGGAAGGCAGTTGCCAGAAAATAACCAGCTCCAGCGCGGACGGGGGGCGACGATCACGCTACCCGGGCGGAGATTATTCTTGTGCAGCCTGCTTTAAAAAAAAAAAAAAGCAGACAGAAAACCCGGGGCTCTCATGGCAAGAGCCACCAAAGAAACGCAATTAGCCAGCAGCAGTAACGAGGGCTGCGTGTACCCGGCGTCTTTTTTTTTTTTTAGCCGGGGAGGGGGAAGCAACCCGCTGCACGGAGCAAAGCCGGCGGGGCTGGTCCTGAGCGGACTGAGGGGCTGGATGGGACCCTGGGGCGGCTTGAATCGAGCCCAGGAGGTTTTGCCTTATTTTGTCATGACAGTCATGCCATTTTTAATAACCTGCTGGGCAGCTGTATCAAGCAGATACAACACTGAATCGGTGTTTTCATTGCATTGGTCTCCTGCTGCAGCCCCTGGGGATGGAGCTCCTCCACCTCCTGCAGGGCATCTGGGCCACACGAGGGCAGGGGCTGAGGGCGGAACGGGAGGTGGCGCCGGGCGGACACGCGGCGCCGGAAGCCGGAAGCCAGGAACCGGAAGCCAGAAGCCTGCGGGGCATGGAGGGGCGGCTCCTGCCTCAGGCGTGGGGGCGGCTCTGGCACGTGTCCGGGGGTGAAAGGCGAGGTGGTACAAGATGGTTTAAAAGTCCCCTTAGGTAGGAAATACGTTCATTTTTGCGCGGAGGGAGCTGAAGATGGTTCCCTGTGGGCCCGTGCCCCCCCCAGGCGCCGGCGGCCCGCGTCATTCCTGGGTCCGTGAGAGTGTGTGTGTGTGGAAAGGAAGCGCTTTTTCTCGCGGGGGGCCTGCCGCGGCGTGCCCGGAGTTGGGCTCTAACCCCTGCTGCGGTTCCCCAGGAGTTGGACAAGATCCCCATGTTTATGAAGCAGTGTCCTGCGGAAATAGACCCCGAGCAGACCCCGGAGCTGGCGTGTCTTCAGTCCATCATTTTCGACGAGGAGCAGGCGCCTGAAGGTACCGCGTAGCTTATGGAAGCGGAAAACTCTGTTCTTTGACTTAAATTACCGGTATTGTCTCGCTGCTTTTTGTGACGCCGATTGGGGTTTGATTTTTGTCTCGCTCACGGGTCGGTGTGGGATGTACTTGGCCGGTAGGGCTCGGCCATTTGCTTGCACGGGCTGGGTGAATGGGTTGGGCTAGGTCCATGGGCCACATCAGGCGCTGTTAGCCAGGACTGGGCTCTGCGCCACTTCTCAGGGCCCCGAGCTGCAGGATCAGGGCCCGCACCACTGCTAGCTGGATCCTGCCCCCCTAGATCAGGCTCTGGCCACCTCCACACATGGGATCCAGCGTGCAGTGTGGCCCCCACGAGTCCAGAAATTTGGCAGCAGAGAAGTGGCAATTGCTGCTACTGCTTCCTCACCACGACATTTTCAGAGCCCTGGGTCTCGTCGCCAGCTGGATGGCGCGGCTCTGCCCGCCTGATCTGGGCCAACAGGTTGGGGGTTGAGCGCCTCTGCCCTAGATACTTGCTTTCTATAGATGGACATTGAGTGTCTGCAGGGTACGTGCATTTTCTGATATATTGAGGTCTGTCTATTTTTGTCCCTTTGCAGAGCAAGCAAAGATGTATAAGAACGAGGGGAATGATTACTTCAAGGAAAAAAATTACAAGAAAGCTGTGATCTCATATACAGAAGGGCTGAAAAAGAAATGTGGTGACCATGAGTTGAATGCCGTGCTTTATACTAATCGAGCTGCAGCACAGTTTTATTTGGGTAATAGACTCTGTTCTGCATTGTATTTTATGGGCACTGTAGATTCCCCGTAATCAACAACAACAAAAACCTGACTAAATGACTTTACTTTTCATGTCGCGTGCTGTCACTATTATGCTTTTTGAAAGATTTTTTTCAGACCATTGAGAACTGTGCCGGTGGCTATTGCTCTTTTGGGGGCTTGAGGTTTCTGCTTTGCATGCTAAATTTGACACGTTGTTGACACTTAAGTGCTTCAGGAAGAGACTTTGGGAAGAGGGGGAAGCCAATCAGTTTCTGCTGTTGAGCTGAATCATAGAGCTGCGTGGATTATGGTCCCAGTTTGGCAGTGCCAGCTGTCATCGTAGGCTGGGAGTCCGTGCAGGAGCAGGGGCAACAATGAACCTGCGATTCTGTACTGCAGAGATGGAAGACTGAGAACGACATGTGTTCAGAAGGTTTTGGCTAGGCCTGTGCATCCTGAAAGACCCTGCTGAGACCCCTTGCAGCAAGAACAAGGAAACCCAAAATACGGGGAACCTTCTAGTATATGTTGCATCCTTTGGCTTAGTATCCTTCACTTGTTTGAGCAGCAGATTTATCCTTGTAACATATTTCTGTGGTCATTAATGTGCACTTTCCATCAATGCCTGCCTTATGGTCACAGAATAAGCAGAGTGTTTCTGGACCTCATGCATTCTGCTGCCTTCAGGCATCTTTACAATTTAAAAGCAGTATACAGGAAATCTTCTGACCCAGGTTCTGCTTTGTTTAGGCAACTACCGATCCGCTCTCAATGATGTGATCCAAGCCAGAAAGCTAAAACCCAACCACCTCAAAGCAGTCACAAGAGGTCAGTTTTTAAAATCAAGTAGTTATGCTAGTATTTTGAAATGCTAAGGCTAAATTGACTAAGAATGTCCACCTTACTTTCCAACACTTTATTGTCTACAGCATATTCTGCTCCATAGTAGAATAGCAATTCTGTAATTGCAAGTGTTTATTAGTTTAACTTACTGAAAAGTAAGATTTCAAAATGATCCATGATATACTAATATAAAAGTTGGATTTGGTTTCATAAGCCGTGTCCAGACGAGCCGGACGTTTTGTCCCTGTGCCTGCGCCATGTGTGTTCTGGCACACGGCAGGTTACTCTGAATGGGGTAAGGGAGGTTGGGGCCAGCAACTGTACTGGCTTCAGCAGCCTTACCTGGGGGCTGGGGAAGCTTCAGCCTTGGCACTTCTGCAGCTGGGAGCCTGGCCAACAGCTGGAGCATGGCTCTGGCTGGCCAGGCTCCAGTTTCGGGCGGCACGTGTGGCTGTCACATGCACCACCCCGCTTTTTTTCTTCGTGGGATTTTTTTTTGACACTGGGATCTCTTGGAATCAAAAAAACACACCCAATATGCAAGGTAGCAGTGCAGGAAACACCTGAATATGCAGTGTGTGGTACCAAAGACGGGTCTGCGGCACCACGTACCGCACAGCTGTGCTCATCTGGACATGGCCACAAAGGCCAACAGGCTACTGCAAATGGCCCCCAAGAAGTCATGAAGCCTAATGCTATTTCAGTTTGATTGTAGTAAAGGAAGTGGACCTTGCTTTGTCTGGTTATACAGATTTGTATGCTGGCTCTGTGCCTAAAACCTTAATATTTTAATTCTTACAGGAGCTTTATGTCATTTGGAGCTAAAGAATTTCCCCGAAGCAGTGGCATGGTGTGACGAGGGTCTGAGGATAGACTCGACAGAGAAAAAGCTTTTGGAAACAAGAACCAAAGCTGATAGATTTCAGGTAAAAAAAGAAGCAGGGAGTTCCTGATCATTATAAGATAAGACTCACTGCGATGCATCAGACTTTTCATTCATTACCTTGACCTCTTTGGGAACCTTAGATGGAAAGCACTGTTTCAATACTAGGTAATGCCATTTTTCAGAAGGTAATACAGTTTCTGTCTGGTAGGATGCAAAGAGCTTGGAAGCCAAACTGGCAGGTCTAAAGCAGAGGTGATAAAGTTACAGCCCACAGGGGAGCAGGACCCGCACAGCTAACTGCTGCCATTCACCTTGCTGCCAAATTTCCAGACTTGCAAGGAGCCCCACAGGCTCCAACTATAACATTTGAGTATTGGTCTTGTTCACATTCACCGTGTCCAGTTTTACATTTCAAAGTACAAGGCAAGGTGTGTAGTGCCTTATTAGAAACTAGTTGCTTATAAAAGCTTTGGTTCTGTATTAAGAAAGAAATAGCATGTCAGTCACAGTACATCAGTGTTAGCTGGGTCTGTGTCCCACTGCTATCACAGAATGAGAATCTTGTCTTCTGCAGTTCAGTGCAAGGGGCTTGGGCATGCAAGTCCAGAGTCTATTTCCTTCTTTCTCATTTTGTCTGACCTGAGGCAAGTGATTAACTTAATTGTACCTTTTTTACCATTCTGTTAAATGGGGATAACATTTTCTTCACTCACAGGGGAAAAAGGAGACTTAATTAATATTTGTAGAGAGCTTTGAGCTTGGAGGACAGAAAACATCCTCACTATAAGCACAAGGTGTGTGAGTAAAACTTCAACCAACCAACCAAACAAAACCCCAAACTGTGCCGTGTTTCCTGGAAGTGTAGTTGAAGGCTGGTTCCTGACCAACTTACTGCGAGGAAATGCTGCAAGGGGAACCATAATGGTTGTGGAGACATGAACCGATTTCTCCGCTTGCCAGTAGGGTACAGTAATGAAGGCGTGGACTTACTGTATATTATTATGATGTACGCTTGTCATACATGTAGCGAGCTGAACAGAGGGATGCAAGGAAAGCCAAGGTGAAGGAGAAGAAGGAGCAATCTCAAAAGGAGGCATTGCTCACAGCTATAAAGGTAAGTGTCAGAGTTGCTCTTAGGTTCTCGCCTTTAATTTTTTGAAAAGTTGCTCTTGTCATATATGGCTATTTAAGGGCTTGATTCAGTAAAGGACTTTAGGCATTGCCATTCCACTTAAGTCCAGAACTGTGATCCTGATAACATCTATTCACCTAGTGGAGACACCAAAATGCCATCGGGGCATGACTTTTTTTTTTTAAAAAAAAGGTCCCAAGTCCCCTAGTGCTGTGCCTTGGCACATACTGAGACCCACCAACAAAAAAAGGATTGCGGTGGATTAACTCTGACTTACTACTAGGCTGTTTTCACTAACTTTGCTACAGCACCTAAACTTTAGGCACCTGAGCCTGAGTGATCCTACCTTTTAAGATTAACAGAATGTAGATTTTTTAGGTCGAGTTCTCAGTGTCTCTCTGTTTTTCCATGGAATAGGAAAGGAATATCAAGCTGTCTCTGGAGTCCCCAAAGGAGGAGGATGAGATGTCAGAGGATCTTGCTGAGATGTCCATAGATGGATTCAGTTCTGATAATGCAACAGGTGCAAAAGTCTGTCTAGATGAGGATGGTAACCTAAACTGGCCTGTCCTATTCCTGTATCCTGAGTATGGACAAACGGACTTCATTTCCGCTTTCCAGGAAAACACCAGGTGATTTCAGTATAAACAGCATTTCCTTCATATAGAGAAGGACACAGTAAAACACCAGCTTTCCAAATGGTTTCAAAGTAATTAAGGACCAAAATCTAATTTAAAAGAGTTTGTGGGGAGGTGAAAAGTATCTGATGATTGTGATGTAAAGGTTTTGTCAGAGCAAGCCTTGAATGGGAATGCGTAGGTTATTCTAAGCACTCATTAGTAATGTCTTTATACCTGTGAATATAGTATAAAAATAACTTTACTAATGCCAAATGTTTACGAGGTGTGTGTCTGCCCTCCAGTTATGCAGGTGTACAAAGAAAAGAGAATCTAGAACTGATAGCTATAACCTACCTTCCAAAATGACCTAAAATATTATTTCTAGACCTGACACAGGACTTACATTAAAATGTTATTATCTTGGACCTTTTTCAGGCTTGAAATGAATGCTGTGCCAGATTCAAAAAGAAGTCATTCCTTTTTTTAAATATAAGCTTCAATTTCTAGCCCTACAGGCTTACGCAGTATTAATGAATTTAAAGTCTATTACTTTTCTGGTGGCCTGTGTATTAACCAGACTGACTAATAAGTTAATGTATTTTTTTTTTTGTTATTTAAAAGCTTAGTGAATGCAGGTTGGTAAAGGGGCGAGTTATCGTGTTTTTAGGACACTGGAAATGCAAGAACATTTCCCAGGGCTCATAACTCAAGAAAGTAAAACTAAGAGAAAGTAGATTCACTGTTTCAACTGATTAAGGAGAAAAGTAAACAACATTAAGTATAACAGATTGCATTTTGACTGCTCTGTTGTATAACGTATGGCATTAGTAACATGGGAAAAGAAAATCCATTTGAAATAAATAGAATGCCTTTATCTTGATTTATAATCCCTTTACACACAAAAATAAAAAGTTTAAATAGCTTTCTGATGCCCAATGTAAATTTGTAGATGAAAGTGTGAGCCAAAGCCAAGTACAGGGCTCCAGACTGAGAAATACATTTCTCCTCAGACATCTTTAAACTTCATATTAGTCTTAAACAGTCTTGAAGATATTATCTAACCTGCTATTGTCATTTTTTCCCATTGTTCAAAATTAAATACACGAATTACTGAGGCTGATCTAGGAGGTTCAGTGGTGTTACAACATTTAGTGGACTTTGAAGTGTATAATGCTGTGGAATAACATGGTATGTTTTGGCTTTTAGATTTATTGATCATTTGATGGTAATGTTTGCTGAGTTACCACCCTGGGATATGGAAAGAAAATATCAGTCCAGCAACCTGCAGGTGGGAAATGTGACTTTCTTTCTACTTGATATTCAGATAAATGATATCTTCAGTAGGTTCTAATAAAGCTGTTTTGGGTATATAAAAGCTACAGCAACATTTTTGTTTAACATGTCCCTTATGTGTAACAAGGGATTGGAGGCCGTACACGATCGTGTGTATATTTTTTCAGGCCAGGCAAGTCCCTGAATTTATTGCAGCTGATTAGACATTCATATTCTTGAGCAGTTTGATCCCTCTCACTTTGGATGTATTTTTGGTGATGAAGCATTCATGTGCGTTGCCTGGATTCCCATGTATAAATGCAGACAACACTTATATTGATAGGTTGAACATTTTTTAATCCATAATTTAGTGGAAATCTTAAAAAAAAAGAATTGTACAGGCAGTTCTCAGACTTGCAACGCAGTTGGTTCCTGAAAACCGTATCTTAAGTTGAAATGTTGTAACTCAGAACCAATTTTTCCATGGGCTCAATGTTATAAATGGGGGATTGGTTCCTTTGCCATATGCTCGACACAGCTGCCTCCAGCTGGTAAGTCTGTTGTGGTGGGGGGTAGATCAATGCCCCCGCAGAGAGAGAGGGATTGGGGCTGGGGCTAGGACAGGGGCTGGGGCAAGGGCTGCCCAGCCGGGGTGGGGGGGCATGGGGAGGGGGTGGGTGGCTTTCGCTGTTGCGGGCTGCCAGTCCAGGAGCTGCTCGTCCAGCAGCTCTCGCTGCTGCTCCCACTGGTGGTCCAGAAGGGAATGGGGGGCAGTCGTATGCCCTTAGATCTGCGCAGGGCAGGAGGGGCTGGGGCTGTATCGGGCTGTGCTTCAGGTGAGTGGCAGAAGGCGCTGGGAGCAGGGGCTATGTCTCCTGCTGCTCACCGAGCCAGGGCGGGGCAGAGCTGCTGCGTTGCCTACGGACAAGCGGCATGAGACGGCCAGAGCCGCCCCAGCCTCCCCGCCCTGCTTCATTCTCACTGGGCGAGCAGCAGCAGGCCATGGGGGTGGAGTGTGCCCCTGGATTGGAGTGGAGCAAAAGGCAGAGTGGGGGCTATGGGGGTGCTGCAGCCATCATACAATTCTCTGTAGCCCCTGCCGCCCACCCAGAGCGCAGCCCCGTGTAGTCCTGGCCCCGTCCACCCCGTGCAGATCTGGGGGCATGTGACCCCCGCCTCCCTATGCCTGGCCACCACTCGCCCAGCCGGCACGGGGCCAGGAGGCCGGGGCAGCCCCGGCTGCTGTGCACTGCTTGTCTGGAGGCAGTGCAGCAGCTCCGCCCTGGCTGGGCAAGTGGCAGGAGGGCACTGCTCCAGCCCTGTTCAGATCTGGCAGCACGGCCTGTCCCGGCCCCAATCCCTCCCTCGCTGCGGGGGCATTGATCTGCCCCCCCCACGCCCCACCACAACAGACTTACCAGCTGGAGGCAGCTGTGTCCAGCGACGTAAAGTTGAAAGCCCGTCAGAACCTCGAAACACTGTGTTGTAGCTTACAAAAGTCATAAATAAATGACCTTTGTCGTAACTCAGACAGTCATAAGTCAAGGACTGCCTGCATGTTAACGTATAGCAGAAAAGCACAGCAGTAATTTAGGATTGAGTATCATAGGTTAAACATTTAATCCTATCCATGTATAGAGATTTGATTGGACTGTCTGCTTTAAAGGGAAAAAAAATAGACTTTCTAGTAACTACACTAAGTGTGGGGTGTTTTTCAACACAAATAGTTTGTGTATGAGTGTGCAGGATAACAATTTCTCACGTTCCACTGCAGTTTCACGTGTGCCAGGCAAGCTGATAGTGTCTACTGCACTGAGCAGTCCTTTTTTTAATGTCTTCTGCTTTGTCAGGTTGGGCACGCTGTTGCTTACAGCTGCCACCATGCATATGTAATCTAAGTCAGTTTTTTGAGTTTTGCTTCTTGGACCTAGTTGATTTAATAACACTTTGACGAAATAGGTTACATGTATCCCACAAATAGCTTTAATGAAGTGGCATCGAATTAAACCTATTCCAAAAAAGGCTTTGATTGCTTCTCAGGGTGTGTCTAAGCCACTTAGTAGAACTGCATAGGTGCTAGGCAGAGTTTATTGTGCATGTGCACAGCACTAAATTAAGCAGGCAGTACCGTTTGTGGTTTGACAAGCAGCATATACATATGGCTCAATGTAGTGCTGCTTGGGGCCATAACTGAGCTATACAGACATACTGTTAGTGACTTGGATAGCAGTGGGAAAGACCATTCTTGTTGCAAATACTGTTTAGCTGGAGATAGTCTTAGGCATAATAGGCCCAGAATGTATACATTTACATAGGGAAAACTGCATGCAGTTTTAAGCATTAAATAAAAGGCTGGGATTTGTGCCAGACAAGCTGTTAAAGGTCTTGAAATTTCTGGACTCCCCCGCCCCATGTCTGTGCTTATTATTTATGGTAGGCAAACAGTGCTGTAAAATTATAAGTGGTTCAGAAAGGTTAGATAATAGGGGGATGCGGCTTGTGGGATCCTGGTGAATCTTAGTGGGCTTTTGGTTTGCAATTGTGATTTGGTACATTCTCAGTATTCATTTCATGCCAAATTGTATCCAGCTTTATTTTGAAGATGAAGAGAGAGAGGAAATATATGAGCTGCACACAGACCACACGCTGCTGCAAGTGCTGCAACACCCCAGGTGAGAGCAAGGGCCTGGACTTGTGTCTAGCTTACTACGGACAGTGGGAGTGCAGACCCTGAGAGAACGAGCCTCACGCTCTCTGTGAAAATCAGACGGCTCCTGTTCAGGAAGAAATGGCTTTTACCAACCAAGACAAATCGCATTTTGCTGCCCTGTCGTGCACTTGGTATCCATAAGCAGGGGGGGTGCACGCCGCAGGAGGGAAAGGGCTGGTCTCCCAGGCTGCATCCATAATCACCCCCCTTTAATTTGAAAGAAAAGAAGCTGGATCATGCTGGTTGTCAGCATCAGCATAGGGCTGGGGGTCAGCCTCAGGACTGAGACATCCCGTCTGGATGCTGAAAATGGGCTGCAGGGGGGGCAGCTTCAAAGTTACCCTGCTGGGTAACTTTAATGCCAGGGTGTGGGGAGGGCCCTAGGACTTCTGAAAAACCATGCATGCACTTGGGCAGTCCCAGGGTACGCACGGGCCAGCTATCAATCAGTTGATTGTTAGACCCAGGCCTGGGCAGCCTGGAGTCTCAAATCAGCTAAGTTTAGGGCCAGGGTGAACAATCAGTTGATTGTGAGATGTGGCCCCAGGGAGCTTGGGTCTTGAACCTGCTGGATGCTGAGGGTGGTCCTGGACATGGGATAGAGTCACCCTGTCCTCGATCTGCAGGATCAGGCTGGGGGCAGCTCCACAACGGTGCGATTTGGGATCAGGAATGTTATGCCCTGACCCAAAGATTGCATCTCCCGCCATGCATGGATGGCAGGGGCACAGTGTTTGGGATGGGACATAGAATTCCTCCAGTCCTGATCCCGTACCGTTTGAATGTCTGCCAGGGGCCCTACGTCACATCACCTTGTAGATGGCTAGGGAGATTCTGCTGCAAAGCGTGAGCAGATCAATGATGATAATTAAGATCTGTAACCTTGTATCATTCCACGAAGCTCAGCTGCACACGTTGCCGCTGACCTGACAGCTTTAAATTGGCAGAATGAATCCAACACTGAGTGACAATAATGGCTGTCCATTTTAATTAGAAAAACTTGTGGGGAGAAGAATTAATTCGCCACACACCGCTATTATATGTGAATGGGCATCAGGATAAAAGGCTCAGCTAATTCAGCAAGAACGCTTGCCATCAGCACTGGTGCAGCCAATCCTTTATTTTACAGGAGAATGGGGTCTAATGCTATTTGCTATGCATGACATTTGTAGAACTTCATAGAGGGTGAATGACTTGTTGTGTTCCTGCAGGTACTTTTTAAAGGCTGGGACTCCTACCTTCTTGGTTTTAGTTAAGAATTCTCCTTTCTCCAAGAAATACTTCTTTGGCAAGAAGGTACATACGCTAAAATGAACGAGCAAAAGCATTCAAGAGCAACAAGAGACTGGAGGAAAGCCAAGCTCCAGACAGTTCTTCCCACCCACAGATACGGACTATCGGTCTCCTGCTGGTACATTTTAATATTTCCTTCTGCCTAAATCATGTAATCTAAACTAGCGGCCCTTGATCCTACAATCCCTGTGAATGCAGAACTCTGGAAGCAAATCAGTAAATTCTGAGTAGACAACGATTACACGACTGGGCCTAAGGTTGGATTATACGTGTGTGTATGGGCAGGAGAGGGAATAGGGCTTGGTTTAATTTTATTTTTTTAAATCTCAAGTAAGCTAAAATACAGTGCAAGGTGCATCCTCTTTTTAAATGAGCTTTGAATTATTTCTGAGTATTAGTTGTGCACAAGTGCCATACTGTTACTTTGCATGAGGCAGTGTCAGGTTTGAGGTTACCTGCACTGTGAAGAATACTACTGCTAACTTCCTCCTCCAACGTGAGCTGCGATGGTAGCTGGTTTGGGTTCCAGTGGATGTGGTGTGTTCTTTGCAGCACTCCTGCTGCTACTGGTCAATGGACTCAAACTGATACATGGAGAACAGCCGCTCGCTTTGTCACCAAGGATTAAAGAACAGCAGCGGTTCATTCACAAGCATGCTTGTGCAGCTGAACAAAGGAACAGAGCTCGTTGTTAAGAGCTATTCAGTTTACTTATCTGATACAAATTGGAAATAAAATAAACTGTTTAAATAGTCTGATGCCTAATAAATGAGACGGTTTAGTTTTCCTTCCTCTTCCTGCAAAAGACATAGTGCATCTATACTTGGAAATAGCATACAGCCGTGTAAATTGCTGATGGAATTACCTGACGCCAGCAGGCAGCATCTTCTGTGCTCCCACAACAGCTCAACGCACGGCAACGTCTAAATTCTAATGAAAAATAATTCGCATCCAAGCTACAATCAGCAAGTGCAAAAACACTGTGTAATTATAGCTCAACCAATACACAGGGCTTTCAAAACCATTCCACTTTCCCTAAGAAAATTAAATCCATCCTGGGAGGATTGTCAAGACGGATTTACCAGTCTGGTAAATCATACTGGATTTAATCTACCAGCTGTCAAAAGGAAAACTAAGTATTGATAAAAGTAACTGTACCGTGATACTAATATAGTGGTATTTAAATATGCATAACTAATAGGTCCATTTTAAAGACAGGAACTGGGACACAATTAAGAGTGAAGTGATCTGTGATGAAAGGTAACAATTCTGGAGAAAGAACTCGCCTCATCCAACCCCTTGTGCTTTCTCTGCGTGCTCACTGCTGCCTTTTTATGAACTCTCCCAGTTAACAGCTATAGTAGAAGGGCTGCTGAATCAGTCTGAGTAGTTGCCATGGGTCCTGCTTAGCAGAAAGGCTTCTAAATTCCACAGCAATTTAATTTGCCTGCACAATCAAGTGATGTCCTTTCATTATCAGTAAAAAAAAATAAAGTAAAATAAAAACAGGCCCACTTCATGCATAGAAGCCAAAGTTTGTAAGTCAACCAGCAGTGAGTTGCTGCCTGTAGAGCAGTAGTTCTCAACCTTTTTAGATTCAAGGCACCTGTTGGAAAATGCCAGGTCTTAGTTTTCACGTGACTTCAGACTACAGAAAAATAATAGAAGAGTTCGGCTGTAAAGGACTCTGAAAGACTGCAACAGCTCAGAATGGTTTTAACACTATTGATTCCTATTTGAAATATCTGAGATTGCCTTGTGAAACGTGTGCACACCTAATGGTGCTAATATTGCATGACACCTACACTACCCCCAGAAAGATCTTAAGGCACCCTGGTTTAGAATCACTGTAGGAGAGCCTGCTTTTTTAATACCCTGATATATCTCTGGTTTTAAAAGTTCATGGTACGATATTTTGTTTAAGGAAAACTGCCTGCTCAGTAAAAAGTAATACTGGTTAACTTCCTGTGAAAGGACACATATTGGAAGCTTCTTAAAGGGACAGCTTTATTAAACACCACCTTTCCGTGCACCAGAAGGCAATCATTTATCCAAAGGGTGTGCACACAAGTCAGGAAAATTAGCAACTTGGCATCCACACACAAGCTGGGAAGAGCTGAACCTTCTAAAATTTCTCCTCCTTAGGAGCTTTTGGTCTGCTGCCCTTCTCAAGCTCTGTTCCCAGGTCTGCAGGGATGCAAACCATTTTCAACCGCACTCAGTGGCATAATAAGATGGAAGAGAGTCTGAACTTTAGAGGCAGTCCAAACAAAGGCATGTGAGCAAAAATTCTGGAAAGCAGCAAAAATTCAGAAGGGGTCAAACGATAAGGCATGTCTAGAAACAATGTAGAGTGGTTCAAAAACAGGGCAGAGCTCAAGTGATGACCAGCTTCAAATAATCCAAGGGCAGCCACCTTTAATAAACCCCCAAGAATGATCCAGTTTGTAGCAGCTGATGTTATGGGGCATGACTGTAAAAGTGACTTTGATGGGAACAGCTGCATATGAGATGATCTGCCAGAGACTGGCCTTCCCAACAGAAAGGAGGATTTGCAGATATGCCCGTAAAACCTGAGGGAATCTAGCTGACATGATCTAGCAACTCAAAAATGTTCTCGGGTACCCTCTGCCTTCAAGGGGGCAGAGCACGCAAAGGTGAATGCATCTTTTTCCTGGGTCTTGAATTCTTGGACTCTCATCCAGCTTATCTGCACATCTCACAGCGTGGAAAGATGAGTAGCCAAATAGTAGAGGCTCAAGCCATTACATACGATGCAGCATAGATTGCAGAGCGAGGAGATGCTGTGGTACAGGGTCAGCCGACGAGACAGTTTCTTATATTTTGGGTCTGTTTCACGCAGCTTGGAGTAAGATTTTCTTGAAAAGAGGCCGATATCCTGTCCTAGGCCATAGCTCTGCTCAATGAGGTGCATGTCAGCCATAATCTCCGATGTAATCTGCCCAAACCACTGGGCGTTCAGAGCAGCAACAGTGACGCAAACAAAGAAGACTGTGATCTGAAAGGGAAAGACAGACCATCTGTGAACATTTTAATGCAAATGATTACTGCTCCCTTCACCTTTACAACCCTCCATCCAACCATCTGTGCAGGTCTATAAAGCCTGTAAACTAGTTGTCCAGATGACAATTAGCCTTGTCTGGGCTTCCTAAATGTGATGAATAACCCCATGCATCAGCAGCAGGTCTTCATTTGGTTAAGTTTTGCCTTAACACCCTAGTTAACTTAATTTAACGCCATGTTCTGATTATGTCGACCTATGTTTTCAAGTTCAGTTTAAGTAAAATAGGTTGCTAACTACAAATATAAGACCATGAACTGCCACTGCCCTTACAGAATCCCACAGGCGAATCAAATAACCAAGGACAGGACCCGAAAAGTTAAATGCACTAAACCACTAAAAACTGCATTGAATTTGTTCCTGACTTGGTATTTTTTATGGCATGCACAAACATACTGCAGAAATAAGCGTTCTTATATAAGTGATATAAGGCTGATTCTAGGTTGACTGCAATGTTTTGTGGTGGTTTTACAGGAAGACAAAACAGGTGTATAAGCAGGAGGCTACCTGGGTGGTTTCTTCTTCATTCAGGAGCTCGCTGGGATGATAGATAGCAAAGATGGTAAGGTTAAAGAACGCACAAGCAGAGCCAATGTGGAGGTAGTAGGGGAAGAGGCGACTCTGAATGAAGCCAAAAGTGTGCCGGGGGAGGTGACTGCCCATCACAAAACCTGCAGAAAGCAGAGAGTAGCAGGTATTTCTTCTGGCACCATTTTGAACTACACCAGCTCCAGAGCACCACCAAATAAAGCTGTCTGGCTTATCTGAAAAACAAGCGCGCTGTGCCGCACAGTGCCTCTCTACAAGTTACGGGGGAGTTCAGTCTCCACGACCTAACAGCAACTCCCTTCCACTCTCGACTGCACTGAGACGGCGAGCTCATTTCACGTGCACAGGCAGCTGCAGTGTCTTTTATGCACTATAAGTTTGAGCTAAATTCGGACTGGGGACCTAGAAATAAAAGCTTCCCAGTTCATTATAGAGAAATGGGTTTCTGGGACTTAGTAGGATAGAAACGTAGGGCTGGAAAGGACCTCGCTACGTCATCTAGTCCAGCCCCCTGCTCGAGGCAGGACCGCTACCTCCTCGTGTATCTAAGCTTTTGGTTCCAGAGAGAAAAATGAAGTCTAGTCTTTCCCATCATGAAATCTTGCCAGCAGGAAGTCCAGTGTGCAGCCATCATCCCTGAAGTAGTGAGTGATAGAAAATAAGAGGATCAGAATAATAGGATTTGGGATGAAATAGCATGACCTAGTGTAGATGTAAAGATCTGATGCCTTAACACAGCTCTTCGCTGATGCAAGTTCTTCAGGCCCGGGAGTCTGAAGTATTTAAGCACTGGCCTAGGCTTTGCTCCCGCTGCAGGTAACGGGATTTGGACCACTGACTTCAACGAGAGCAGGCTCCTGTGTACCTGTCTCCATTCACTGCAGTGAGATAGTGCCAGTCGACTGCAGTCAGCCCACGGGTTATCAGTCATGGCAAATGCCATTTCAGTCACGATGCTCACATTTGTGAGTTGGGGTGAAAGCCAGGAAACCGGGCAGCACGATGCCATACAGACGGCAATGGACAAGGAGGCCAGAGAAAGCGATTCTGTTCCCTGCTCAGCCCCTGCCCCGCTGCAGGACCTCACACAAGTCACTTCACTTGCCTATGCCTCTTGTTCCCTCCCCTACTCTTTCTATTTAGATTATAAGCTCTTTAAAGCAAGGGCCATCTCTTACTAGGTATCTGTACCATACTCAGCACCACGGACCCCTACTTTAAATGAGGGTCTCCAAGCAAACATATAAAGCATGAGAATGAATGAGAACCAAATGCAACGTACCGGACACAAAAGTGACCCAGATCTGCATGCCCCAGCAGGTTGAAAGGAAGACCAGGTGAAGCACTTTCACCAAGATTGAGGGCTCCATATCTGTCGGCATGGTACTCAGGAAACAAAGATGTTCCCCGTCAGAAACTTCTGGTCCCAGGGCCAGCACGGACGCACCCGGCTTGTTAGCAAGCTGCCGTTGCTGTCCTCAGCCTATTCAAAGACAAGGAGAAACCTAGGAATGCAATTTAGTTTCATATGATCTTTTATTAAAGTGAGGGAAATCTTATCGCAACTATGATGTGAGAATGTTATAAATGAATTCATTTCCTTGGCACAATATGGGGCATTTCACAGTGGGGGGGGGTTCTTTCAAATTCACGACAGACATATGGAGGATTGTAAACTCCTGCTGGAATAACTGAAAGAATTAAACCAGATAAGCTAATGATGGCCCAAGATGCACTGGGGCTGGATGCCCCCGGTGTCCTCCCCGACTCCTCTGCGATTTGTCACCTGGATAATCTTGGTTCCAACGATTTTGATAAATCATTAGGTCAGGTTTCTGGTCTAGCAGCAACATAAACGCATTGTTTCTGGGCACACAGTCCAGGTCTGATGGTGACTAGTAATGGTTGGGCTGGGTAAAGCCAAAGAAATAGCATTCAATCTCTAGGCCCAGGGGACTAGTCCTGGCTAGCCAGACATTGATAGACCATGCGGAGAGTGGTGTCAGGCCATACGGAGGCCTGGGTCATACGGAGTTTGAGTGCGGAGGAGTCCTGTGCTGTAATTCCTCTGCGCAGATAGTTAGAAATTAAGAACCAAGACAGAAATGTCCCACTGACTGAGTACAGGAACAAAAGCTCTCAACGTCCCTGGCTCCGCAAAGCCCTCCACTAAAGGGCTCAGACAAGGCAGCCTTGTGGGCCAGTTCAGCCGCACAACAGCCTGGGAGACAACTCATCCGCCTGGCAGCAGCTCGGCCCATCAGCCCTGGCCTGCCACACAGAGGAGGTACCATCCGCTGGCAGGGAACAGCTGCAAGTCATACAGATGTTAAGAGCAGCCTTGACAGAGATTTGGCTGGGGTGATATGATCCCTGCACCCGTTCCTGCCCGGGGCAGAGGGTCGGACCTGATGATCTGTTTAGGTCCCTTCTGACCCTAACTACTATGATGCTATGACACCCGCTGGAGATGGCTGCATCCCTGCATTGTCCCCTTCAGACAAGTGACACAGATGATGGGGAGAGTCACAGATACATAGAGATGCAGGGCTGGAGGGGGCCTCTATCTACTCCAAACCCCTGCCTGGGGCAGGATCATCCCTATCCAAACCATCCCATACAAACCATCAGCTAAACTCTACATCAAACCATCAACTCAGACCTAACACCCGAACCTACCCGGCTCGGGGAACCCGGGCAGCCAACATCCTGCTTCTGTGAAATGTCACTAGTCACTCCAGGGGTGTACTGTAGGTTGTAGCTGTGTTGGTCCAAGGACATCGGCAGACACGGTTCTTTGGGTGCATCTGATCTCTTATTAGTTTAAGTCGGTCTAGTTAAAGAGATCAGATGCACCCAAAGAACCGTGTCTGACTATACACTCTGGGAACCGGAACTCGTGGCAGAGGTGATCGCTTCGACCAACTAGAGTTTTGCAGCAACAAAAAAAAAGCCTTTAATTGCAAAGTTGCAAAACTCCAGCTGGTCCGAGAAAAAAGATCACTTCTGCCACGAGTGCTGATTGCTGTTTCCTCTAGATCAATACAGCTGCAACCCGGACACCTGACAGTGCAGGCTCGCGGGGTCCCGAGCCCCCGCTGCAGAGGAAGGCAAACCCCCAGGACCCACACCAATCTGTCTGGGGGGGGGGTGGGATTTCTTCCTGGCCCCAATTGCTGGCCCTGACCCCTCTGGAGCAAGGGCACAGCCCCGGTGCAAGTCCCAGCCTTGCAGGGACCAGCTGGCACCAGCGCAGGCACCCGGTGCAACCCTTGGGGAGCCCGGGGCTGGACTCACCTCCTCCGCAGAGCCAGCGCCCAGCCGCTGCCGGGGTGGGGCGGAGCGCAGCTGGGCCCTGCCCCAGCCGGGCGGAGCGAGGGAGCAGGGATCTCTGGACTTGATCATGAACTTTGCTCTGGGGGCCCCTGCCCGCATGGGACCTCTGCTTTCCATTGAGTGATGCTGCAGATCCATGCCCCTGCCTGCATTAGCACTTGGCTAATGTGCAGCCCTCTAAGGGTGCAAAACTTTTATTTGGGGGGGAATGTATATATATGCACACACAATTCTGCTTTAACAGCCCAGTCGTATGACCGGTGCAGTTCCTTGCCCCGTTACCCCATCCCCACCTGTGCACCCGCACCCCTGCTGCATTGCTGTGCCCCTTGCAATCTTTTTAAAATTATTTCATTTGTCAAATCGGCCCAAACTAACTCCAAATCTAAGAGTCCCGAACCATAAGTGGCCTTACTACTGACAAACATCCTCCATCCGCACCTGGGGCATCAGATGTTTCCAAAACCTTTGGCGGGCTTCCTACTTGCAGGTTCGAGGCCGGAGGCTTGGGGTTCAGGTGCCCCCGAGTTTTGCTTGCCCGCACCCATAAGGCCCTCGGAGCAAGCGAGGGAGGAGACTCCCATTTCCATAAACTGGGCTTAAAGCTGCTGCACCTCGGCAGGTACTGAACCACGCCAGAAAAGCAGATCTGCTGCACGGCGGTTCAGGAAAACTGCCTTCGTGGACACAGATACATGGTATTTCCCCTGCCAGGTTAAGAAGCTACTACGCTTGATCCGAGCCTTCAAGAGGCCACCACCCCTGCTAAGGGGTATTTTGTTAGCTACAAATCAGCAATCCTAGTCCCTGCTATGCCCAGGTGTGGGCTCTACAGAAAGTCGTGCTGAGTTACTGAAAGCGTGAGGTTAAATGATGGCGATGCTACTGCTGGGGAGTGCGAGGCCACGTGCCATTTTTAAGTGGCACCAGCAAATTACTGCTATGAACCAGGATTAAGCTGATACAAGCAGCCACACACAAAGCTGCATTGCGTTAACATCGCAGGGTTATTATAGCTACGTGTGCCAAGCTCTTATTGATCTTTCCTACTGTTTTAGCTGATGCCAGACTTGTTCTTATTATTTTTGCACGTCCCTTGTGCCCTCCATTAGGGGACCGTAAAATCATTTGAATATGGTAATGATGTAACGCTCCTGACTGTGGTAGGAGATAGAAAAAAAAATAATAATCCCCAGGTTACAGATGGGAAGACTGAATACAGGGAGGCTATTTGACATGGGCTTCAGAGGAGGCTCCTGAGGTTTCGAGGGTCAGAGGAGGGGGCTGCCAGGGCCTGTACACCTTCCTTCCCTTCCTCCTGCTTGGGATGACCCCAGATCATCCCAAACAGACTGTGGCTTGGCAGGGAGCATAACTGATGTCTGCTAACCCTCAGTTATGGGATAATCCTACTACCCCCCATGCCCCATGCTTGTCTGCAACCCGGAAAAATGTCTGTGCAGAGAGGAAGACGCTGCACTCACAACATTGCAACCGTCTGTGCAGTTGCTGCCACCTAAGGACTAAAACCGAGCATCACATGACAGGCTTCTGCTACTGATCTTAAAAAAGCTATGAAAATACTTGTAGGAAAAGATCCCTGGCATTTTGGGGCACACGATCCGCCTTTGTTGCGGGAAAGGGAAGAACCAGCACGACACGGTGCATTAAGATCTGCTTCGGGTCTCATCACTAGAGCAATTTTGCTTTTCTTCAAATGGGAGAGGGGGACTGTTCGCTTCTGGATTGACCTGGAGAAGTTCGCTGTGAGCTGTAATCTTTATTCCCACCAGCTTCAAGTGGCAGCATTTGGATGTGTCCAGAGCCAGGTTCACCTCTACCCACAAATTCATATGCATCCAGCATAAAGTCAGGTTAGTCATTAGGGAGACATTTTTCACAGTAAGGGTGGCCAGGATCTGGCTGCCAAGGGAGGTGGTGCTATCACCTAGCTTGGAGGTCTTCAAGAGGAGGCTAGATAGACACCTGGCTGGGGTCGTCTGACCTCGGTCCTCTTTCCTGCCAGGGGCAGGGGGCTGGACACGACGATCCTTCGTGGTCCCTTCCGACCCTACAATCTATGAATCTATAACGCCACTAAAGCAAGGCTTCCCGTGCTAGCTCGGGAACCAGACACCCTCGAACGTGGGGTATATTCCGATTCAAATCTCATTGCTACGCCAGGCCTGCCCACCTGAAGGCACCAGGTGACGCCCTGAGCCAGATGGGGCCCAACATCTGTTCTTGGAGCCTAGCTCTACTGCCTGCAAGTGCTTGGGCAGCCACAGACAATGCTCCCAGTGCGAAGCACGAGCTTTCAGACGCCTCCGAGACGGAGGGAAGAGGGGACGCAGCTTGCCTACGGAGCAGTGAGCGCCCACGTCCGGCAGGTGGCGGCGGATAGAAGAGAGTGGCCTGTTTGCTACTACAGCAGCTTGGAAATGAATTCAAATAAGCGTTCTGGAGAGCCACACGGCTACTGCTACAGCACATCAATTCTGCCGCTGCTTTATTTTCATCCACCTGAAAGCGTCAGGCTGCGGGAGACAACATCTTTCCTTACCGCATCCTGACACTCCTGGGGCGTAAATTCCAGGAGAGGCCTCAGCGGAGACAGCCTTGAGGAAGATGTGCTGCAGTCTAATTATGTCTTGCTACCGCTGAAATAAAATATATTATCGGGGCCTTGAAAACATTTCATAACGGCGAGGGCCGCGGACTGGAGAAGAGCAAGAAATCTGCCGGAGTCCTGGCTGCATCCTTGTCACATAAATCCTCCCGCTGTCCTTTCCATCATACCTCGCCTTCCCTCCAAGCCAAAGGGTTTGTTTGTGCAAAGCTTTTATAGGGTGCCGCACAATCCGGGCTGATCAGGGGTCAGCCTTTCGCTGAGTATTTGCTGTCATTGTTAATGATTTAAAGAAGCTGTGGCCCTGGGCTCATTTGACTGAGCATTTAAGGTTCAAGCAGGAATCCGTTATTTGTGTAGGGATCACAGAAAAGTAGGGCTGGAAGGGAGCTTGGGAGGCCAGCTATCCAGAGGACTCATAACCAATGATTGCAAACCGATGATTGCTTCATACCTCAGGGGCCGACTTGGTCACTAAACACTCCAGCTATTCGAGATCAAGATAATATCTGGTTTGGGAGTTCAGTTATTCCACATCTGGGATCCCGCTATGTTCTTTTGATGCTTTGGGTGCTGGTCGCCATCAGAGATGAGAGACTGGATTAGATGGACCTTGGTGTGGTCCAGGAGTTCCTCGGCCTAGCAGTAACCATCTACCCAAATATAAAGGAGTTGCGTCACCATTGCTGGCTATGCTGTGCACCATCCAAATGTTAGCAGATGCGTTAATCAGAGAAACAAAGCTGGGAGGGACCTCGGGAGATCGCATGTAGTCCAGGCCCCTGTTCAAGGCAGGGTCGTCCCTGTCTGAACCCTACCCTGCATTGTCCAGCCTGCCCATCAAGGCAATTATGCTTAGAACAAAATTCTCTCCGATGTGATTACGAGGACTTTTCTGCACACGTCTGGGGAGTGGGATGGCCTTTAAACATCTCCCAATCCAATTTATATTTTGTGGCTGTGCATTTATTGTACCATTCCCTTCTGCAGTGTCCATTGGACAGCACGGTTACTGCTTTTCTGGTATCCGATGTGTTACATTATTGAGTGTTTTGGTGTCCACCCTGCTACATGAAGTCCTCCGAGTATCGTGGTGGTGGTGTGCATTGGAGCCATTGTGTCCCCTGTGGTATAGGGTGCTGCACGAAGGAGGAAACGCAGACCGTCCCTGCCTCAAAAAGCTTACGGTCCATATAACTGATGTGCAAAAGCAATTCTCTCTTTCATGCAAGTTTACTTTCCCCTTCCCACTGCCAGAACTACCAGTCCAGCCATGCCACGTTACATTGCATTTTACGGCAGGACCTAAAAATAAGCTGCTCCTCCAAAAAATCCTGCCTGCCTTGTGCCCTTTTGTTGTTATGTTATACAGACTGCGGGTGTCATGGTCCTGCCCTCTTTGGGGATCATACTTTAGGGCAAATTCAAGGCTGTGTGAGTTGTTCTGATATCAGGTTGGTTTGGTGAATGATGGTCCTGATTCTGCATTAATGCCAGCGGAGGACCGGAGCCTGCTTGACACCACTGAGTCCATATAGAGAGAGGGTCTGCCCCCTTGGAGGACCTTGTTGAGATTGAATGACCCTTCTTCACTCCGTGGAGTCAGACCAGTGCATCTGGGTTCCCAGTTGGGCTGCAGGTATCCTCTGATAGCCAAGCTGGCCAGATAAGAAAGGCAGCATAGTCCAATGTCTGGCTGTTGCAGGGAGACCCGGGTTTTTGTTTCAACTCTGCTACCGCTTTGCCGTGGGGCTTTGGGCAAGCGGCTGCGTTTTCCCTTCCTACCCTCCACATGCCTTGTCAATGGAGACTGCCAGCTTCCAGGGCAGGGGCTGTTTTGCATTGTGCACCGCGTTTAGCACGACGGAGCCATGCTCTCGGCCTGTAAAGCAAGTGACAGCAGTGAGATCTTGTACTGACTCTTCCACATGCCTTGGAGCCGTGCTGCAGCTCAGCGGCTTCGCTGCGTGTGAGACACAGAGATGCTTTCCTGCAAGAAGAGCCTTTAGGAAAGCTGTGTTAATTAGCATGGAAGCAGTCAGCGTTTCCACAGCCAGACAGACTGCGCGGCCCCGCTCCCACCAAGGCCATTTCCAGCCCCGGTGCTGTCAGTGATGTGGTCGCATCCACTGCTTGCTAATTGAGAGGAGGGCAGTGTAATTACGATCCAATTTGATGCCGCCTTAGAAACGGTTGGCACACTGCTCTGCGGCTCGCTGAGCATCCTGGCGGGGAGCTGTGGAAAACCAGGGGATGCTGCAGCGCTGATGATCTGCGGAGATATTCGTGGGGCCTCTGAAGAAGAAAGAACGAGTACGTTCCCGTTTTCCAGGCAGCCGTGCCTCCGCAGAGCGG